AATATTAAATCTTTTCAAACGAAATATTTTTATTATTATTATTATCATTTTTTTTTCGTTCTAATAAATTCATCAAATGATGAAAGCTAAAAAACATGTAAAATTTGAATTACCACATGTTATTGTTAATAATAATAATAATAATAATAATAATAATAATGATAATAATAATAATAATAATAATAATACTTCTTCTACTGTTATTCGATCACGTTTTCATATTAATAATAATGATAATAATGGTAATAATAATAATAATAATAATAATAATAATACAACAACAACAACATCATCATCATCATCACTATTATTATCTGATACTAATAAAAAATTTGATCGAAATGATCCTAAATTTCCAACAATTCTTCGTATTCCATCATTGCAACGAAAAATTCGAAATGATATTGGAACTATATTAAATAAAAGCTGTAATTCATCAATAAATAAAACAAAATTATTATTATCATCATTATCATCACCACCATCATCATCATCATCATCATCAACATCACCATCATCATCATCATTTCTTAACAATATTCGATCAAAACGATTCATATCAACAACACCAACAACAACAACAACAACAGCATTTTCTCCAACTACTAATAAAATTAATGGATATTTAACCCGAGCTAGAATTTCCTCGGTAACTTTTCCATCAATTTCTGGAAATCGAAGAGCATACATCACTTCACGTATTCCCTATACTGATAAGCTATCATCAACTTGTCAATCAACACGAATAAGTTTACAATTAACAAATTGGAATCCGACATATTTACGATCAAAAATATCACCACCAATTGATATAAATCGAAAATTTTGCGCTATTTATCCAGAAGAATGTCAAAATTCTCAAAAGCCTATGCGACAATCAGTGATAAAAACAACGGATTGTAATCATTTGAATGGTCAAAATTTGAATTATAAAATGGAAATGTTACATTCAAATATTCCACAGAATAAAATTTTCTCAATCAATCAACATCATTCAACATTTCCCAATACTGGCATATCATGTGATAATCAGCTTGATTGGGTAAGTTTAAATTTTGAATTTCTTTTAGAATGTATAAATACATATTTCTATTTTAAAATAAATTTTAAAGTGATTTTTTTTTTGGAATAGTATAAATTAAAATAAATTAAAATAGAATAGAATATTTAAGTGAAACAACAGTTGCAAAGGTATATTTCTATTTCAAAATAAATTTTAAACTTTGAATTTTTGTTTTTTTCTTGAAATGATATAAATTAAAATAGAATAGAATATTTAAGTGGAACAACAGTTATAAATGCATATGTCTATTTTAAAATAAATTTTAAAGTTGAATTTTGTTGCTTTTAGAATGGTATAATTAAAATGGATTAAAATAGAATAGAATATTTAAGTGAAACAACAGTTATAAATGCATATTTCTACTTTAAAATAAATTTTAAAATTGAATTTAAAATTGAATTTTGAATCAAAATTGAATTTTGTTGTTTTTGGAATGGTATAAATTAAAATAAAATAGAGTATCTAAATAAAACAAAAATAAAATATTTGCCAATGTTTGTTCTTTTTTTTTTAGGAAGTATAAAATAAACTTTTCAAAAAAAATTTTAATGAATTTATGAAATTTGTAAATTTACAAAGTTATTCCATTTGCATAAACCTGCACATCGCAAAATATCTGGGATAAATCGGGATGAAAGTAATAAAATCAATAAATCATTATTATTTCATAAAGTAACATATATTGTATATTGAAAATTACATTAGTGCTAGCAAATTGTCGATAATTTTCTTTGTTCGTTAAAATTTTGAATTTTTTTTTTTCCTTTTAAAATTTCGAATTTTTTTCTTTCAAAATTTTTAAAATATTAACAAACATTATTTATTGTGTAAATTTTTAAAAATTTATTAACTTTTCGTCAAAAATTTATCATTTCATAACGTATTTTCTGCAAATATTTTTAAGGAAAATTTTTTTTAATATTATTTAATAAAGTTAAAAAAAAATTTGTGTTTATTTTATTTTATTTTATTAATTTAGCAAAAATTTTACAATTTAAAATGCACGTAAGAAAGAGAAATAGAAAAAAAAAAAGAAAATGAATTAAAAATTATTTTGCTAATTTTGATAGCTCAAGGTTAAACATTTTCATCAATAAAATTCATTTTGAACAAACAGATATTTTTATAAGATACACTTTTCAAAATTACATTATAAAATTAAGATTTTAATTAATTGAAAAATTATAGATGAAAATATTTGTTCTAATTAATGATACATTTATTAGTTGCATTAGAATAATAACACTTACTAACCCATATAATTTAAGTTCTTTTTTTTAATTATTTAAATAATCCTGTTTTCTTTTTAAATTATTTAAATAACCTTCATCATACATACCTATCATTTACCAATTTTTCGCCTCAATTTATTTTTTAATTTTTTTTTCTTTTTTTTTTCTGAGATATCACTCGGCAATATTTTATATCTACCTGTTAATGATAATGTGACAGGTTAATTTTTTTTTTATTTTTATAAGTTCCAAAAAAAAGTTAATTGGTTTTTTTTCTTTTTTTTTTTTAAACAATTTGACATAACAACAACATTTCACACTGTAACAAGTCACATAAAAATAACTCTTACGAAATATTTTGCAAAAGAAAAATGAAAATTTTTAAATTACCTTAAAAAGAAATTTTTTTTTTTTTTTTTTGGTATAAACTTGATTTGCATTTTATGGTAATGTCATTTGCAATGATAAAAAGTATTTCAAAAATTTATGTTTACTTTAAAAAAAACAATAATAGCAAATAAGTTATCGTAGTTTTGTTACGTTTTATTTGAATTTTTCATTTTTTTTCGTGTTACTTTTAATTTAAAATATATTAAATTGATTTGTTTTTTTTTTTTTGAAATGCATGCATGCATGCAATCAGCGCATTTTGCATGCATGTAAAAATTATCATCTTGTTTTTTTTTTTTTTGCACTTACATTTAATTATAATTATCATTAGTAATTGGTGAATTTTTACCGTACCAGTTTAGCATTCAGTAATTTGAATTTGCCATTAATAAATCATATGTTCGGTGTTTTAGGAATAAATTAATTTTATCTAATTAATTAAATTTTTCATTTAAATTTTACAATCATTTGTTCAAAAAAAAATTTTCTTTTTTATAATTTTTTTTGATCAAATGCGCTTTTAACATTTTTGTTTTCCCAATTTGATTATCTTCCAAATAATCCGAATAATTCGAAATTAAATTTTGTTCCATTAATTTTTAAAAGCCAAACACGTTTTCCATATTTCAGTTTAAAATTTTGATTTTTTTTTTCTTAAAAAATATTCAATTAAACTAAAGAATGTGGGTTTTTTTTTCCTTTATGCCATTAATTTTAATCACTAATTAATCATTGATTTTATC